TGCTTAAATATCTGAGACGTGGCCATAACTACATGTCCTATGTTACCAGGGTGTACTACGGCGTGGAATACAAAATATCTTAAAGTCCTTGTAGCTATTCTGTTCCATCGTTGGTACATAAAATTTCTGAAAATGTATTTTGAGATTGTGTGTAAATAAATGTCATTAAAATGCAATGGGCTCCTTAGAGCGCCTTAAAGGAGAACTGACATCAAATTTACTCATGTCAAGGTTTTTGCATGAAAGAGTAGCTATCCACCCCCTAGTAGCGATTTGCGACCTAAAACACACCTGAGTGACGAATGAATATATGTAATATTGATAAATATATCCACTATCGAATGTGGTTCAAATGGGTGGAGAGCCGGCCGCATTGTAGTGCTGTGAGCGCTACCTCGCGGCCACTGTAGTACACACTGTAGTCTAGCTGTGTCTCTGATGGTGTAGACTAAAGCCCCTCCATACATTTTCCGCCGGCTAGGTTAAGTAGTGCGAACTCGTTCTTCCTCTCTCTCTTTAGCCCCGGCCTCGAGAAGGGGCCTCGTACTGCCAGTGAAACCCAACTGGTTCGCCAACACAGGATTTACCCTGTAGCAGCTCGGCACAAAGTGAAGCGAGCAAATGTGGCTGTTCTTCACAGGCGTCCAGTCTCTCTGTACATCGGCGTGTACGAAGTCAACCCACTGACTGCGTTGAGGTTCGTGGCTTGGAAAGGCATAAAATGCCACGCACTCTCCGCTTTTTTCGCGCCTCGACGTGCAGGTTTTCACTGCACAGCCGTTCCCCGACATCCTGGGACGTATTGTCACTCTGAATGATCGTACTCCCGCTGTGGAGCGCACGTCAAATCAGTTGATGCGACACAATGAATCGCATGCACGCTCCAACACAGCAGGAGAGCCATAGTGAGAGCATGGCCGGGAGTAGGCTCCAAACACACTCAGATCGCCGACGTCATTGTTACTAGCGTATCGTCACTCATGATGGTATTTGTGGAATGTATCACACCAAACACGTAGCACTAGTGTCGGTGTTGCAGGGCCATCTATTTTCAGTTTTTTCTTCTTAGCTTTTTACGCTGTTTGACATCGAATTAAAATAACTTCTATGCGATCAATCCCAGTCAAATTTGGGCAAGAATACCTGTGCATACCAAGTGATCGAACGATAGGCACATCCCGATCTTGAAACTTGATGTCAGTGCTCTTTTAAAGCTCTTAGATGGCTCCTGAACCATCCGTGAAGCTTGGATTCTTCAAATACAATGAGCGCAGCATAAATGAACACAAGGAGGTGGCTTAATGCCATAAATTGTATTTTACTCATGTATATACAAACCAACAACCATAAAACCACGCATTATTACTGCGTACAAGCGCCACTCATACATGTCTCAGTCCACTAGATGAAGCCTTCAGGCGAAAATGCTCCATTTCTTTGTGGTGGCAACAGAGTCAGTGCTATCACTTCATGGTTCCGGCTTTGGGTGTTAATTGCAGTTGTACAGAGTGTGGTAGCTATTCAACTTTTTAAGAGAGTTGAGGCAGCTGGTTTCAATTCAAATGCAAGTACTTTATTCTTTCTTACGTGAATATACAGTTGGCATATTTGGAATTAAAAGTTCGTCATTTCTGTCTAAAACATGAAGTTTGGTTCACCAGTGATGTGAGAATATCTGATAAAACTTGCTGGGGTGTACCCAAATTTTTTACACTAATTACAGCAACACAATCTGTATAGCAAAACTTACTGTCCAAAATGCATAATGGTGCATTTAGGATAGTTGCCTATAGCAACTAGTAGCTACCTGCCAGCATCGCATGCGCTTGATGAAATAACATGTTATGCAAGTAGAGCTTGAAGCTGTAACCATTTTACGCAGCCAAGTTTCAGAAACAGCCAACATCTGACACATAAACATTGTCTCCCCTCTTTTCAAAAAGGTCGTGCCATCTCTCTGTTTTTTTGGTACTTCGTGCCATCTGTCAGTTGAAGTTGGGTGGTATTAGCTGGCAGACGACACCAGCTATTTATTGTAGCACAATATGCTTTCACGCATGAAAGGACAATATGCTTTCACACATATTTCATACATGTTTCATGTATGCATGCAAATTGTTTCAGATTATTTAGTGATCGAAAGAAAATGGGACAGTTGTAGATAAAAGATCCCACCTGTCCAGTCACTGATTTTTTTTCCCTCTCAGACAACTTTGATAATACATATACAAATAAGAGCAATACACAGGGCATTGCTGTCAGCTCTACCCTCACAGAAGGGAATGGGAAATTGTGAAGGACAGGTGAAAAATTGGATTCCTAAGTTTTGTACTAGGTCATTTTCAAAAAGTTATTCAAAGGGAACAATTCTCGTTGCACCATGTTTCTGAGGTTACCAAAAGTTTTCTTAGGCCCCTTTTAAGATATGTACTTGATTATGTCAAAAATAAAGAAACACTTAAATAGTACAGTGACCATGGCAGGAAATGAATAAGGAAGTGATTACCCAACTGAGGTGCTTAAGGGGGCAGAGATGACTAAACAAGACAAACAAAAGAACTTACAGCACACAAGTAACAAACCGAAAACATTTTATGACAAGACATCACATATGGTGTTCCATGAAACAACTGAAAGGTTATAGTTAACAACAGAACGTACAGCAAACAAGTAACAAACTTTTTAAAAAAACATTTCATGACAAGCCATCACATACAGTGTTCCATGAAACAGCTGGAAGATTACAGTTGAATGAAATCAGTCACATATTATTCGTCAGCCTCACAGCCTGCTTAAAATATTCATTTTACCAGACTAATGCTCTGGTTTACAATGATCATCACTCAAAACTTCTACATCTTATTTTACAGCACAATAATCACAGCAAAAATGCAAAGCCAATATTGGAAAACAAATCGAGATGGTTTCAGAAGTTTACTCACCACATCACTAATTTTTTCAGGCTGTGAACTATGCCTAAAAAATATAAAAAATAATGTAATCGCACACTTTGACAGCTAAAGTGTGCTCACGCATCTCTCCGAATAAAGTAACGCGTTATTGCAGTAAGCGAGTAAAAAGCATAAGCTTGCCCCATTTACTCTTACCTGCATCTTCAACAAGAATAGGGGATGGTGAGCTGTCACAACTGTGAAGACTGAAAGTTGGAATGTGCTGCGTCATATCAGAGATGGTGTGGAACGATTTGAAACAAGAAACAGGTGTACGCGACGTATGACTTGGTGGAAGAGTGAATTCTTGACGCGAGTTCCTGCCTGGCTGCCATCTGGCTATCAAGTGACCGTACGAACAAATTGCATAGCTTCTGCTTGCACCCATCCCAGCTTGTCAAGTCCTACTCATGCGTTTTGTACCATGCGCGTGCGGTACCTTGTAGTTAGAATATCATGTTGGGAAGCATAAGAGTTTCATCCCACTTGTATTGTTTACTAATACGCTCGTATAAGCGGAGCCACTCTACAAGGTTAGTGGGTGTTCATGCCACAGAATGTACCACGGTCAAGAAGGTGGGAAGGGATTACAGGTGACGGAATAGGTGTGAACTGTGCCCTGTCTTTGGGCATTATGGCTGAACAAAGGTGGCATCCGCTACGAAGATTCAGAGTCGGGTTAATGGAAGACCCGCAACCTCCACCAAAAATATGTTACGGGAAGTATTTATGAAGTTAACGCCAGTACAGTGTACCAAAAGGGGAAGTGTACTGTGCGCGGCGCGTTACAATGGAGGCGAGGGGGCCCCCACAGCAATGAAGCAGCTTGGTACAGCTTGGGGGCGCTAGGGGCGCTGCGAGCCAGAGGAGCGCGTGTGTTTAGCCAGTGCCTCCTCTGGTTTAGCACGTGTTGTATTGCCAGTCTGTGATGTTTACGCGTGACTTGTGCCTCGTCGCTGATATTTCTCGCCACATTGTGCTGTAGTTGAGTGAAGTGGCGGTGGTGTCTGCGCTTGTCTACGGGAATGAAAAAAAAAAAAAAATGACAGGGAGAAGGCAGGACAAGCGAGATGGCTTCTGTTTTGTGCCGAATTGTAACAGCAGCTATCGCTCGTGTAAGGAGGCGCGCTCCTTGTTTCGGGTGCTGCTTGAAGGTGATCGCCGGGAAAAATGGTCATGGAACATCAAGAGAGGTGATCGAGTCCTCGACGAGAGCAGCGTTGTTTGTGAGTGGCACTTCGAGACAAGGTTCATACAGCGAACTTTTCAGACCACAATCAACAATAGATCATTGAGATCCCCCGACATCGACCACTCCTATCAAAGGATGCCATTCCGACTATTTTTCCAGATGCTCCCAAGTATTCTTCAAAGGCGCTGCCGAAAAAACGGAAGGATCGCAACCTTAGCGATCAGATTCTTCCCAAACCGAAGCGAATAAGGCGTGAGAACAACACGGTGGCAGAAGTTGTGTCTATTAATGTTAACAGAAAGAGTTCGGTCGATAATATTCCTGAACAGGAATGTCAAAGATTGTCGAACGATGTTGACCGAGACGGTGCAATTGATAAAGCTCCTGAACATGAATGCCAAGGTCTGTCATTTTCAAAGCTGATGATTGATTTGTGGGGTTTAACGTCCCAAAACCACCATATGATTATGAGAGATGCCGTAGTGAAGGGCTCCGGAAATTTTGACCACCTGGGGTTCTTTAACGTGCACCCAAATCTGAGCACACGGGCCTCGACATTTCAGCCTCCATCGGAAATGCAGCCGCCGCAGCCGGGATTTGAACCCGCGACCTGCGGGTCAGCAGCCGAGTACCTTAGCCACTAGACCACCGCGGCGGGGCGTCATTTTCAAAGCTCACCATTCCAAGTGCGTGGTTGGAAATTTTTCTGCCGTGTGTTGGGGACTCATTTCTTTATGCTGAGTCAGAAGCCGACGCTGTCGAGCATAGCAAGGTAGCTTTGAAGAGATTCAGATTAAGAAGCAAGCTGGTGAAAGTGCTGCGACCGCCGAAGTTCTCATCAGAGGAAAAAAGTGGCGCCAAGAGGAACTCGTAACATGAGAGGAGGCAGAGTTACTGATAAACAATGTAAGCAAGTTGACTTTGTGCCCTGGCGTGGGAATGGAGCCTTTAGCTGGCAAATGCCCTTCGTTTAATGGGGAGCTCTTTTCGAAGAACTGCACGCTTGTCGTAGCAGATGCCCTCGGTGCTTGTGTTCACTGTATCAGAGGAAGCTGATACTCAACCAGCTTTCCAGAAGATGGCGTCAGAAGGTATCTGCCAAACCAAGTCCTCGTAATATACGGCATAATCTACGGAGAACGAAAGCCAAGCTTAGCAACGCAAGAATTAGCTTCAGTCATATGAAAACAAAAATGAGCAGTTATCTGAAAAAGCGGTAGCTGAAAGAATTAGAGGCCTTCCTGAGAAGCAGCGAGCAGCTGTCAAGGCGTGTTTTGAAGCAGCACAGAGAAAGTCAAGAAAAGGAATGAGGTATGAAAGTGAATGGCATCTTGAGTGAAAGCTGATGCGCATGCGAAGCCCTAAGCTGTACGAACACACGAGAAAGCACGACATTCTGGCTTTACCAGGCCACATTTGTCTAAAGAGGGCAATACAGCACTTCCAGAGCGGCTTTGGTTTTAACCCAAGTGTGTTCGAAGGTCTCCAAGAAAAAACGAAGGACATGGACGAGCACAGTCGGCATGGCATCATAGTATTCGACGAAATGAATTGTCTGAACACACTGATGTCAAGCCTTCTGGAAAGTGTGAACAGTTAAACTGTTTCATTATTTTTAATCGGATGGTCCATATGTTTCATCGTATGTGCTGTTAGTTTCTGCGTGTTCATTTATCTCGGCTTACGTCTTTACCTCTTTCAGGCTCCATAGAAGGATTTGTTGATCTGGGTCAGTTCGAGACTGAAGGCTCCGGAAAAGAACTTGCAGATCACGGGCTCTTGACAATGAGCAAAGAGCAGGGTCAATCAAGTACCAATAATGACTTCATTAGACATTGTGATTATGGCGGTCTGTTATACTAATCTTCTGGGCTTTCCGGCCTTGTCAGCGCTTTAGAAGAGTCATTTACCGTTTTCTTCAGTTCAAAGAAAATTAACGCACAAAGGATGCAAGACTTTGCCATGTTCCTCTAAAGTGTTGACCTGCCAAAGCCAGGGTGTGACACACATCACAAAGAGCTGACATTGAGTATAGTGAAATTTTATGTACTTCTTCAGTTTCGATTCTATGCTAAGTCACTGAACAAGAAGCGCAGCTCTAAGAGACAACAGGCGAAACACCTGAAGCTGAGGCGATGTAAATGAGCAGCTTGCTTGACAGGTGGGGTTAGTAATTGATAATTTCTGGGTTTCTACGAGGGAAACCATGATCTTATTCTTTTGATAAGTTTGTGTCTCGTTGTGAAGATATTTTGGTTTAATCGAAAGGAGCAGCTGGGCTGAAAAAATTTTTGAATGAAAAATAAAGTTCAGAATCATGTTTGTCTATGTCTGTGCTTGTGCGCGACCAGTCGCAAAAGTAGAAGCCACATGCAGACGCATTCGCTTGAAGCTTCTCAACTGCTTAGCATGGGAAGCAATATAAAAGATATAGGCGGCCTACGCCTATATGCATGACCGAACACAGACACTTGTATGCATTAAATAGAAATGTTTAAGCTTTATGAGTTAATGCGTTAAAATTTATCCAATACCACTTGAAGGTATGTCACTGCTTGAAAATATCCCTGAATTAAAAAAAAAAAAAAACGCGCTCGACTGGACGACAGCACTAACAAGGTGTTGGTTCGAGCTAGTTGGTATTCTATAATCACCACTTCTTGCACAAAATTTCGTAGACAACAGACGCAAACGGAAGTTTGTGCCCGTCCGTGTCTGTTTCGTCCGTTGTCTAAGAAATTTTGCGCAAGAAGTGGTGACAGCACTAAATTGTGATGCAGCTTGTGTGGAAGGGCTAGATTTCATGATTAGGTGGCGTTGCAGTGGTTATTAATCGCATAAACAGCCGCACTTGCACGACAACTCGGTACAATACAAAAATCAGCAAATCAGCCGCGCAAACCACTCGCAGAGGTATCACCGCAGCTAGCGTAGTGCTCCTGTGGCCAGTAGCGCCCTCTGGTGGCGCGCGGAGCGGTCATTGCAAGAAGGACCCTCTTTCCAGCGCCGCGCGACACACTTCCCCTTCTAGTACACTGTAACGCCAGTCCGGTAAACACTTCACACAACACAGAGAAACGCAGGACAACAGGGCAGCTCAGACACAGTCCCACAAAAACGTCCTCGTGTTCATTGATTCGGCATAATTTCAATGTTCGTGCCAGAAGTACCTTCCTATACCCATGACAATATTTTTAGTTGCTGCCCACAATATAATAGGATCCATCGTGTACCCAGTCTGATTTTGCCTATTTTGAAAAAGGCACCTTCTCTGCAATGTCAAGTCCTTTTTGTCTTCGTAAAGCAGGTTTACAACAAAAAAGTGTTGTTTGGAGGCACATTATGTTCCTTGACAATGGCCCCTTCTGATTTTTAGTAAGCCTCAATTCGCAACTTTCTTGAATTGCGGCAGAGCAGACTTATGCTGCCTCTTTTTCACAAGAGCGCTGTAAACTGTTGCTGCAGTTTTTTACGAAATATATGCCCCAACATATTTTTTTGAACTTGCATATTGAAACAGTAGACATAGCTAAGAAGAGGTTCAACGTGACTGCAGACTGCACAACTTATTCACAGGCTGTTGGGACCAAATAAGCATGGCGCTTTACTTGGACTATTCTTTGTCAAGGAGATATAGAAACCACCTATTTCATTCTGCATGTTCTATTACAACCCATCACTCCTGTTTTCTCATTGAAAGGGTCCCCATCACTTCCACCTGTTCACAAGTTCCGAAACATCCATGACTGAGACCCACTAGTCTATACTGTGCATCACGTGCATCAGATTAAGATGCACAGCAGCCTTGCTGAATGCAGATTCTAACATGGCACATTATATCTGCTGCATGTTTACCCGATGTATTGTGGGCTTCGTTCACAGCCTGAAAAATTAGTTACACTACCAATAACTTCAGTAGTGGGTGAATGTGCAACTTGTGCAACAGGTAAACTGCACTCAAATAAATATTTCACACTTCTCAGTATTATTATTAACTAATAAGTAGACTAGTCTGACACAAACTTTCAGTATTTCAGGATGACTTGAAACACACAACACTGACTTGTGTCACCTGGAAGCAATATTCCATTTTGTACGTTGTATGGATTAAGCTATGTAAAGCTTAGCAGTGTGGTGGTTTTGCCCACATAAAAGGTTGATGATGCATATGTACTCCTCACAGGACTCCTTCAGGGTTCAAAAAAAAAGGAGTAAGAGATCTTAAGGTTGCGTCTAGAGCAGTAGTACAAACTTACGTACCACTAAAGTGAGCAGGATGGATGAAAAACAAGTACAAATCAGTACTTTCAATGTGATGGAGTCTACATGGTCTGTGCATCACAACGTGCATTCTTCAGGAGCTTCCTGTTCATCTTTGCTATCAGACGATGCTGACGGCAACTGACACAGGAGATCTGTGCAAGCAACTACAGTGCTCCCCTGCTGTGCACTGGACATAAGAGTGCTCCCCTGTTGTGCAGTGGACGTAAGAGTGCTTCCCTTCTGTGCAGTGGACATAAGAGTGCTCCCCTGCTGTGCAGTGGACATAAGAGTGCTCCCCTGTTGTGCAGTGGACATAAGAGTGCTCCCCTGCTGTGCAGTGGACATAAGAGTGCTCCCCTGCTGTGCACTGGACATAAGAGTGTTCCCCTGCTGTTTACTGGACATAAGAGTGCTCCCCTGTTGTGCAGTGGACGTAAGAGTGCTTCCCTTCTGTGCAGTGGACATAAGAGTGCTCCCCTGCTGTGCACTGGACGTAAGAGTGCTCCCCTGCTGTGCACTGGACGTAAGAGTGCTCACCTGCTGTGCACTGGACGTAAGAGTGCTCACCTGCTGTGCACTGGACGTAAGAGTGCTTACCTGCTGTGCACTGGACGTAAGAGTGCTCACCTGCTGTGCACTGGACGTAAGAGTGCTCCCCTGCTGTGCACTAGACATAAGATTTTGAGATACCTCACTAGAGTCAGCTAAAGTGAGCACGAGGTTCGAGCTGCCAACGGCTTGCTGCACAATCCTAGATTGAGGTTGAACAAACGCTTGCTGGCCAGAAATCATTACTGGCACTCCTGTTGTTCCCAGTTTTGGCAGCAGAGTCTTCGCTGGAGGGCACACAACTGAAGGACTGCTGTTCGTGGCCAGGGACACAGGGATTCCAAGCGTACCAGAGCTATTGAGGACCATTGCAACCATCGAGCTGCTTTCTTGTTGGAGAAATGTGGTGCTACTGTTATCCACAGCTAATATTGTGGTGCCATTCTAGAAGAAAACAGGATTAAAATGTAGAATTTTAGTTAGCCTGCTGATACAAAAGCCACTGTCTTTTGTTAGTAAAACTGACACAAAAAGCTACTGATACACATTATACAGTGCTGTCAATAAAAAATTATGCATTATGCAGTAAAAGTATGCCACTTGAGCATATTAGAAATGAAGGAAGTGCACAAACAGCAACCAAATTCTAGATGGTAGCAGAGGTTACAAGGCCGTTTCATATTTTCCAGTGTGGTAAGGAGCAAGAGTGGTTAAAAGACCCTAGAGGGCTTACCCGGTTTAACTTCTCCAACTGTCCTTTTCTTCCAATGGCAAAATCACAAACATCTGCTTGCTATATGCACACATCACAATAGTGCTAAAAAAGTGGCTGCATCAGTAATTTAAATCGCAGCAGAAATTGTAGGTAGTGGCACTGCACCTAGTTGCGCCCCCACAAAATTGTATCTTTTGCTTTTTATTTCAAACTTATGAGGGTGCTGACACCACCCCTGTAAAGTTGTCTGCGCCGCGTGGCGCACGTGTCTCGCCCCAAGGCTTTGTTTCGGTGGTGACCACGGCCAGGCGATAGATGGCGTTGTGTTCGCTTTGAGTACATCTGTTGGTAGAGTGGTAGCCCCGACGGTGGCCCCTGCAAAAGGTGGGCGAGAGTTGAGCGAGCCTCTTCTGCACGTGGCGGCTGCCGCGAACGGTTGTCTGTAGCGTGGGTCCCCGGTGCTCGGCCCCGCGGGCTTCGCGCCCGGGTCCCACGTGGAAAGTCAGGTGTTGGCGACGCCGCCTTGGGTATGTGTTAGTGTGTGTTTATCATGCTATTGTGTGTTTAGTGTGTCACTGCGTTATGTTGTTTGTATGGTAGCGTGTTAATTAAAATGGATGTAACATTCAACGGACGATATCGTCGTCTAAATTAGTTAATAAATGTATGTATGTTGTGTGCTTCGTACCAACCGCGTCCGCTGTTTCCGTTCACTCCAAGAGCGTGGCGTGGCGATGCGCTGGTTCGCCTCGCCGAGACCCCACAGTGGCTGCCCAACGTGGAGCTCTTGGAGTATCGGACGACAGTTTTTGCGGTTCGATACAGGGATTTTGTTAGAGCCGGAGTAGAGTAGGCCTAGGGGGGACTTCTTTGCTAGCGTCGGTGGTGTGCTTTGTTGAGAAGCGAGGAGATTGGTTTTGTAACGCGTTTGAATTTGTCGGCAGGTTGACTTTCTATTTATTTTTTTTTGCTCGCAAGTGTTATTTTTTTGTTGTTAGCTTTCAAAAACGTTGAATTGGGACGAGAGCCATACGGTCCGCATCCTGGGGTGAGCAAGGTCTAGAGCACGTGGTTTGTAGGCCATGCCCGAAGCGAGTGAGTACGGAAGCCTCGTGGGTGGTCCGATTTTCTGTAAATAGCTTCTTCTATATCTTTGGGCTCAGGGAGCCGGGCGTCGTCGCTGTCTGGTATTGCGGCTCGACGCCGAGGCGTCGTGACACCGCCCGGGGCGGTGGACGTTGATCGCTCGGTAAGCTGCTGTGTGCGGCGAGCGATAGGGCCACCTCACACAGTGGACGACTCCTCGCGGCGAGCCTCTTCTGTGCCTAGGCTGGGTGCTGGGTGGATGCCGGTTGTTGCCGGGTGACTCATTGGGCCTAAGGCTCTGGGCAGCCGCCTGTCGCACGTGGCACAACTAGGTGGATCGTGGCATTGGGGTGTTGCGCTCTGCTTCCCTCGTTTTTTTTTTTCTTGAGAGCACGAGTTAGGAAAAGTGATTTTTGTTTTATTTTGATGGGCATCTCGGCCGCCATCGATGTATTAGCTAGCAGTACTGACCAACGTACCACGTGGACGAAAAGCTCAAAGCTCTGTTCCTGAGGACCTGCTCGATTGTTTTCTTACGTTTTTTTTGTTGTTGTTATTGATGTCTTCGGCGGGAAGGATGTCATCCACGGCCGGCTGTCCTGCACATCATCAGCGTTGCTGGCCAGGAATGCAGTCGTGAGGTCGGGCGATGGAGATGCCTGGGACCTGCACAACTGCCTGCAGTCCGGCGCCCTCGCGAGTGCTGGTCGCAACTGGAAGACGTGTCGGCGCTAGCGACGGATCGTCACGCCGACGGCAACGTTGCTGTTGTGAGGCCGGTACTGAGGTGAAGTCTAGCCGGACAGTGCAGCAGTGTCGACCAGCGGCGGTGTCGTGGTGCAAGGACATTATGGTCGTGCGATATCATTTTTTTTGTTAAAGCTTGTGTAGCTAATTTTTGATTTCGGGATATGGTTTGATTTAAGGTTGGGAGAATGTGGGGGTGCTGACACCACCCCTGTAAAGTTGTCTGCGCCGCGTGGTGCACGTGTCTTGCCCCAAGGCTTCGTTTCGGTGGTGACCACCGCCGGGCGATAGATGGCGTTGTGTTCGCTTTGAGTACCACTGTTGGTAGAGTGGTAGCGCCGGCGGTGGCCCCTGGCGGAAGGCAGGCCTTGGTGGTGGGCGAGAGTTGAGCGAGCCTCTTCTGCGCGTGGCGGCTGCCGCGAACGGTTGTCTGTAGCGTGGGTCCCCGGTGCTCGGCCCCGCGGGCTTCGCGCCCGGGTCCCACGTGGAAAGTCAGGTGTTGGCGACGCCGCCTTGGGTATGTGTTAGTGTGTGTTTATCATGCTATTGTGTGTTTAGTGTGTCACTGCGTTATGTTGTTTGTATGGTAGCGTGTTAATTAAAATGGATGTAACATTCAACGGACGATATCGTCGTCTAAATTAGTTAATAAATGTATGTATGTTGTGTGCTTTGTACCGACCGCGTCTGCTGTGTCCGTTCACTTCAAGAGCATGGCGTGGCGATGCGCTCGTTCGCCTCGCCGAGACCCCACAAACTATGAAGGCTATATACAGTAAGGGTGGAAACATCAAAAAGAAGCATTAAAAGTTGACCTACCCGAGTAAACTTTCAGTGGTGCATAAACTGTGGTCAGAAGTATGATTCGAACATGTTGCAGTGTTTGCATGCTCTTCCATGAAAGCATCGCAGGATTGCTATGCTAGGATTCCGTATTTTTTTAATTTTCTTAAATGGCATGTATACACCAGAACACAGCAAGCTCAGTGCTTGCTGCCATATTGAAAACTGCGTGTCGCCATCTGTTGCAAGTGCAGCAAAGCGACACCCTCAACTGCCACGCAAGCAGACGCTCTGCAAATCAAACGCGAAACTTCACAACCCTAGTCCGGCTGTAAGCATGTTTCGCGCTGTTCCTTCGGTGAAATTTTGTGATTTCGTGTGAAACGCCGAGGAGACCTTCCTCGACAGTCCAGAATGTCTGCAGCACGTGCATTGCAGGCTGTGGAAGCAACTTCATAAGGTACGTATTATCCGACGGAAAGAAACGCGAACGGAAAGCGTTAACTACGGCGTGCCTTGGCTGTGACAAGGCAGAATTTGGGCTGTAAGCCGGCGTCAACGTAGCGCTAGAATCTGGCTCCAACTTACGCTCATGCACTGCATGTGTATCAATTGCCAGTCCTGCCGGGCACTCGGAACACACATGCAGTGCAAAGATGTGAGCCAGAACAAGATTTTAAAATGCTACGGTGACGCCAGCCGATACAGTCAAACCTCTTTAATACGTACCCGCTTAATATGTAACTGCGGTTTATACGTAGTAGCGAGGAATCCCCCGCCCTATCTCCATTGAACCCCATGTATTGGCTGACCGCTTAAGCCGTAGTCGCTTGTGGTGTTATGTACGGTTAGTACGTACTATTTTCGTTCTCTTTATCCATGCACAGGCCGAAAATCGGCAAAATTTCGTGCGCACAGACGGTCGATACACTCCATGTGGCGATCGGACAACAACCACCAGCGATAGTGACGTCACAACATGGCCACGATGACGTATTTTTTGCGCGTACGTCTGTTGCCGATCCCATTGTGCAAGAGCATGGCCTTCAAGATCGGTTTTTGGTAACCTAGGAATTCTCGATTGCTGGTCCCGGTAGGGGGTGCAAATTCGCTGTCGCTTTCAATCCAAGCCAAGTACGTATTCTCAACGGCTCCACAGCGTCGAGCCAGGCTGAGCTCGTTTCTTTATTCGGTCGTTAGTCCTCACTTTCCCGCAGTGTTGGTCGTGGCGGCGGTGTGGTGGTGTTGCGTTACTTACGTTCTTGTGCGGCGTGTTGTGTTTTTTTTTTTGTTGTTTTTTTTATTCTTGTGTTGTGCGCGAGTGGTGCGATTAAATTCGCACACTAAAACTTCTTACTACAGTATGCCGAAGTACCACGTCTTGAGCGTAAAGGAAAAACTTGAAATCATTCGCACTATTGAAAATGGGGCCAAGAAATCTGCGGTAGCCCGCGATAAGAACTTGCCGCTGACTACTGTATGCGGAATTTGGAACGCTCGCGAAAAGTTGACGGGAGGCACAGACAGCGATTTGAAGAGGTGCCGCATGAGAGACTCAGCTTATCCCGAAGTGGAAAAGGCCCTGCTTCTCTGGCTGAAGAAGGCGCGGAGCATGAACCTGCCGGTTAGCGGACCCCTTCTGACCGAAAAAGCCCTAACTTTCGCAGATCAGCTGAACTGCCCCGGTTTTGCCTGCAGCAACGGCTGGTTGTCGCGGTTTAAAGCCCGCTACGGCATCGTGGGGAAGGTTGTTTGTGGTGAGGCTGCTGCAGCAGACAAAGAAGGCGCTGTTGAATGGCAGGACACCGTTTTGCAGGAAGCCTTGACAGCCTACGATGCCGCCGACATTTTTAATTTTGATGAGTCGGCACTTTTTTATTGCCTTCTTCCAAATAGGACATTGGCATTTAAAAATGAGACGTGCACCGGCGGGAAACACGCCAAAAATCGCATATCGGTCGCTTTTGGCGTAAATATGACCGGTAGTGAGAAGCTGCCACTGATGGTCATTGGCAAGTATGGAAACCCGCGGTGCTTCAAAGGCGCTCGGCTGCCATCCGGTGTTGTTTACAAGCACAACAAAAAAGCCTGGATGACAGCCCAGCTGTTCGAG